AAAAAAACCCTCAAATTTGCCATTATCAAGTCAATTCTGACTCAGCAATCCTCCATCAAGTTTCTGAGGCTGTACATCTTTCTTAACAGGAGGATAGTGCTCATCATTTCCCACGGAGCTGCTGGGATTTGGATTTGAACCACCAGACATGTGTGACTTTTGGTTAACAGTGTGCAGGCTCTTTAATATGCTGCTAACTCAGACTCACTGCTATTGAGCCAGAAATGACTCACTAGCTGATCTTCCACTCAGTTTGAAGATGTAAATCACATAGGAGGAAACTGTCCATCTTTATTCAGAATGGTGGGGATTTAAGCCTTTTGGGTTAACAGTACAACTCTTAGTATATAGCAGAACTGCTATATACTGCTTTGTACACTCGTGAAAACTGGTGCAGATGCACAATTTCTCTGCGAGAGCCCAGACTCAATGGGATGACCTTCTTTTTCTGAGTCTTCAAAGTTTCCCACTCAGAACAGAGTATAGCCATACTACTTCTCTATCATTCTCTTATTAGTAAAAAATAGCTATATTTTCTCTCTAAATGATTTGCATCTTATACAGGTTTCCACTTTGTATTAATTTACTGGAGGGGTGAGGAACTCCTCAGGTCTTTTAAAACTTAAAATACATTAATTGGTAAAGAAATATACCAACAGATCTGCTGAGAAAAATCATTCATTTTGTATTACCAACAGGTTTTTAGAAATGAAAAAAAAAATTATCTCTTTTTTGCATAAAGCATAATGCTATTAGTAGCAGAGTGAGGGTTTTGTTCCTTCATGAAGGGCAATTAAGCAAGGTTGTCCCATGTCATCATCCCAGTTGTCATTATATAGGAACTCCATGTGCAGGGTATAAATGGTGATGAAACCCAGCCTGTGCTGAGGGGGCCACGGTGTGGGTCCTGGTGTCAACACAAAGAGAATACCTTCCTCTAACTGGCATTTAAGTGTTTACCTCGCCTGCCAAGTTCAGCCACTGTGTTCTCCACAAGTGGGGGGTGGGCCTCTACCTTAATAGCACAAACATGACACATGTGCAGGTAGCATACTGTCAGAACAAGTGAGGAAATGGAGAAAACACTTTCTCTTCATCTCCAGAAATGGAAACAAAGGGAGTGCTCTGGGAACACGAGGGTGTGGAAGCTGACAGGAAAGGCCACTGTGAGAGTTCTCTCAACATTAACAACTTACAAAGAGAGGCTCAGGGACCAAACAAGCAGAAAGTGAGGGGATGGGCGTAGACGAACATCCCAGCAGTTGACTTCCAATAAAGAGGTCTCCACGAGCTGGTTCTAACTTCAGAGTGTAAAGTCGAACCGCCCAGAACCATTTCCAGCATGTACATGTGGAAGGGAGAAACCCACGAATATAGCCATGGTGGATGCATTGTACCAGCAGGAAAGAGAACGAACATCTTTTCCAGCATGTTTAATTGGTACGACTGACCAAGTATTTTAGAAGACATCATTGTATCTACAGACAAACTCATGGGAACAGAAATTAGGTCCTAATGATTCCTACAGGCCCTCTCGTCTCATCTAATAGAGCACCCTGCACAGATTTTGTACTTTCTTTCAATCAGTTCTTACTACAGATGAATAAACAACTATCACCAAATATTTCACCTGTCTCAAACAGGTAGAGTTCTTTTCCTTCATTGGGTATTACAGAAATAGTTTTTAACACAGGCAAAGAATAAGGAATAAACAACTATATTACTACGAATTTTATTTAAAATGCCACCAATTAGAAGTCATTTCTCCATTTCATTCAAATGATGAAGGAAAGTATATATTAAAAATGAGAAATTGTGTTAATATTCTGTCACTACACTGCTACAGTATCTTAAACTATTTGTTCTCTTGGATTTTATTGAAAAAAATCAAAGAGTCAAAATAGGTGATTTCGTATGCCCTTTTCAGCTTTAACAATATAAAAAAAACCCTCTTTGCCATCAAGTGGGCACAAACTCCCAGATGACGCTGCAATAAGTTCTTAAGAGTCTGGAAAGCACATGGGAGGAGACTGCCCATCTTATTCACACAGAGCAGCTGGTGGATTTGAACTGTGTATCTTTGAGTTGGCAGCTCAATTCTTTACCACTAAGCCACCTGTTGTTGTGTGCCTTTTTTTTTTAATTACCTGACTTGTGGAAGGGCCAGATCTTTTGCGCCAGGCAGGATGACTCTGGCCTCATGGTAGGTGAAGAAAGAGGGCTAAGCCTCTCGTTGGAGCCAATGAGAGACTGGTGCAGAATCTGGGGCTTTTTAAAAGACATTGGATAAAATAATTTGGTCCCAAAGCTGATTTAATTGTATTTGAAATGAACATTTCCTTTGTGGTACAGCATTTTCCTGTCATTTCGCCGTAGTTAGGATAAATTAGGTAGGTTAGGATTCCTGTGATAATAAATGGTGTGCCAGGAGTGCATCAACTGCGGTAATGGTTACACATGGTTGACAATGTTTGGTAGAACTAACAGATTAAGAAAGGCCTGGAAGCAGGAGTGGCATCCACTTCCTAAACATGCCTGTAGAAACTCCATGAATTTAGATAGAAGGCAATTTTTATAGAACAGGGTTAGGGTCTGTTGTTTAAAGGGTCACCACTCAATGACCTCTAACAACAATAACAGCAACATATAAAGCCAGGCCCTTGTCTCCATGTTGAGGTTGGGTGTAATGGTGGACTCTGTACGACAGAGCTCTTGTTTTGGTTGAGGACCTGTGTCGTTTTTATTGAAGCCTCTTGTTTAGAGTCAACAAGACCTCCTGGACGGCCTTTATATTTAAAAGTTTGGCCTGAGGGATTATATTTTAATTGCTTGTTACTATTTTTTGGATCATACAAGAAAACAAATGTTTGGCTCTTCTAAGAAATACAGCACTCTGGTCTATTTGCTGTGCTGAGGTAATCTGGGTTTCCTTTGACACTGAACCATTTGCCACTGGAGTCACAAAGGCCATAATGGAACAACTATGCCATAGGTGTGCCATACATCATAATGGCTACTCATCATGGGAAATGTTTGGTGGAGCTCCCATACTGATTAAGGTTTGGAAGCAGGAGTGGCATCTACTTCCTAAACCACAAACCTCTGGAAGCTCTATGATCTTGGGAGAAATGACTAGTTATAGAAAAGTTTCAGATCTTTTGCTCATATACATATATATATGTGTGTGTGTGTGTGTGTGTGTGTGTGTGTGTGTGTGTGTGTGTGTGTGTGTAGATGTATACATATATGTATATATGTATACACACACATATATATATGGAGAGAGATGGGGGGAGAGAGAGAGAGATATCCCATGTATTTAAATATCGGTTGGCCCTAAGGGTCTAGTGTTATTTTTAGAGGAAAATTTTTCTCAATTATGCAGCACTCCGGTGTCAATTTTGCTGCACTGAGGTAATGTGGATTTGGTGTGTTGCTGAACCTTGTGCCATTGGGGGACAAATGCCATATTGGCTACCCAGGGTGGACAGGGTCTGGTGGAGCTCCCAATTTAAGACAGGAGTGGCATCCAGTTCCTAAACCACACACCTCTGGAAACTCTGGAAATGATTATAGTTATAGGAAGGCTTCAGGCCTTTTGTTCATAGGGTCACTATATGCTGTGTGCTACTAAATGGCATTCAAGAACAACATTTGGTCACCAGTATGGGGCTGGAATCCAAGATGGGAAGCAGTCTGGAGCAGCCAGATACTATGGAGGTTTGTTTTCTGGTTCTACTGAAGATTAGGGTGGAATAATTATTTGCCAGTGGGTGTGAGTTGATTGTGTTCGGCCTCCTATTGAAAAAGACTTTTGGGCCTGAAGGCCGGTTTTTACTGTGTTTGGTCAAGCATTTTTCAAAGTGTGATAGCACTGGTCTGTCCATTTGCTCTACAGAGATAATTCTGTGACGCTGTTGCTGTGACGCTAAATACTGTGACACTAATCTGTCAAATGCGATAATGGTTACCCACAGTGGACAGTGTTTGGTGGATATCCCCAATTAAAACGAGTAGCATCATCCACTTCCAAAATAGCTTGTCTCCAGAAACCCTATGAACTTGGAGAAATGATGAAAGTTATATAAGATTTCAGGTCTTTCTTTCATAGAGTCTCTGAGTCACCTACAACTTACAGCAATTAACAACAAAGCACATGGGAAGAGAATACTCATCTTTTTCCTACGGAACGACTGATGGATTTGAATTACTTATCATGCGTTTAAATAGTGAATATTATATTAATACTTCAGTAAGCTCTGGTGGCTTAGTGGTAAAGAGCTGCACTGCCAATCCAAAGGCATGTGGTTCGAATCTACCAGCTGCTCTGAAAGTCTACACTGCAGGGAGTTGCTGCAGTACAAACCCAAAGGCCACAGCTATTTGCTGGTTCAAATCCACCAGCAGTTCTAAGAGAAAAAGATGGGCAATCTTCTGTGCAATTTACAGTCTTGGTAACCAAGTGGAGGGTCAGACTTGATGGCAAGGAGCAGCCAGAGTAACAAACACATAATTGACAGTAACAACTGGTAACATACCTTGACTTTGACAAGTCTTTTTGCGGTCTTGATCTTGGCTTCACAGAAGGCTCCTCTGTATTTAGCACTCACATCAGTTCCCACGGTTAGATAAGGGGGCTCATCAAGGGCCTAATGAGCAAAGAAAATCAATTATCAGTGCATTCTGACCTACTATCCGACCTCAGAACCGATCTAAAATCCCATCGCAGCTATAAAACAGTGTAATGTATTTGTTAACAAGAACAACCTAGGAACCATGTATATTTTAAAAGTATGAATGTTCTTCAGAAGACCAATACCTAAATATATTATATGTGTATCATAAAAAATAGGCATCTCTTATCTTTTTCTCTTAAGTAGTTATGGTCCATTCAAAGGATTAGCAGCAGAAATGTAACTTACAACTAACCCTTCTGTTTAAGTATTTATTTACTACACAGCATGTAAGAGAGCTCTGGTGGCCTATTGCTAAGAAGCTGTGCTGCAATCCCAAAGGTATGCAGTTCAAATCCACCAATTGTTTTGTGGGAGAAAGATGGGCAATATCTTCCCATCTGATAAAACTGCCTCTGAAAACTCATTTATGGGTCAACTATGGGCCAGTTCTGACTCAATGGCACCCAACAATAGAATATAGCACATAAAGACAAGGATCTATTTGTTAGAAGGTAGAACCTTAAAGCTCAAAATCTGAGAACATTTCTTAAATACTATTTTGGCAGAAATAAAATCTAAAAAAGTTCTGTCATATATGTATAAGGATAATTCTAGGGTAGTAGCTGGCCCTCTGGTGGGTGTTTGATGCTGTCTGTATATTCCAGGGAGAGCAGCTGGTAGATTTTTAACTGCCAGAAGAATGTGACCTTAGGATTCCTCTACAGACTATGCCACTGGAGCTCCCTTCTTTAATATTAGCCTGTAAGATTTTATTCTCAGAAATAGTGTTAAATGAAGACTGGTGTGATTAAATGCAGAAGAAAACTAGAGATCAATTCCAAGTTGCACAAGTGAGCCTACAGAAGAACTAATATTTATGAGATGATCATAAGCATTTCATTTTCTCATTATGGAGAATTCTGAATTAAAAAAAAAGAGAATAATGTATTTAAACTACTAATATACAGATGACAATTAATGTATACTCTCATTAATATTAACATCTACCACCAGCAAAATACCAGTTTGTTGTAGATACATCTGGACAGACTAATGAAACTCTTGAGATAAGAGCCCTTCCCCATTGAACAGCAACAAAAAAATACAAACAACCAAACCCTAGGTGCATTCCACTTAAAACTCTTCTCAGCACATGGAAAAAGATGGTTAACAACATTATTCATGATTATTATTATTCTGAAGGTTAAGAGTATGCTTTTTCCTCCAAGTTTTAAACTTTAAGAAAAAATATGAAGGATATCCTATTAGAAAAAATACTGACAAAGAAAAGGTAATATTTAATAAAGACTAAAATGTAAAACCATTTTTAGAGTAGTGTTAATTTGTTAGGAAGCACAGGGAAAGCAATGGACAAAGTTCTGAGCCTTTGTTACTTTGCTTTTGCTGTCATTATATTAACTTTGTTAATTTATTTGTTAACTATTTCAATTTAGCCCATCCTTTAGGTAACAAGTGCTCTGAATCCTATATACATTAGTATAACAAGCCTGTATCACAGAATTCAGGTTACCAAAGACAGCCACACTGGCACACTGCAGGATCCACATGATCCTCTATCTTTAAATGTTGATGAAAATGGGAATGAGCATTTCTACAGAAACACACATTTCTATAAAATCTATAACTACATGGACAGCTCTGAGCTGCAGTGGTTGGTGATAACAAGTGAGCTGGACAAATACTGCCATCCCACACCATGCTCTGTCACTGCCGACAGAGTCTCCACATCAGTCTATTCCTCAAAGGGTTGGGTTCTTCCGCATGCCTCTGCATTCTCCAAAGATTCACCCCTCCTGGTAACATGCCCAAGTATTAACAAAGCTCACTATGTTTCTAAGAGCATTCTGGTTGCACTTCTGCCAAGATAGATTTGTTTGTTCTTTTGACATGCCACTGGATAGTCAGTACTTCACCAACACCACAATTCAAAGGCATCATTTCTTCTTGAGTCTTCTTTATTCACTGATCAACTTTCACCTGCATAGAATGCAATGGGAAATACCATGCCTTGCGCATGGCACACACGAGTGACACCTTTACTTTTTTCAGCACATTAGAGAGGTCCCTTGGAGTAAATTTACCCAAGAGACAAACTATGGACAAACTTTTAAGACAGAAAGACAAGTATCAAATTGCAACTCTATCTCCTATACTAAGCTAGATGAATATTGTAAAGGACTTACTTCAACACCCACATCAGGTGAAGAGGGTAAACATAAAAAACAGTCTGATTGCTAGACCAACTTGCTGAATGCCATCGAGTCGAGCACGACTCATAGAGGTCTATGAACAAAAGGCCTGAATCCTTTCAATAACTATCCACATTTATCAAAGTCATAGAGTTCCCAGAGGTTTGTTTTTTAGGAATGGATACCACTCCTGCTTCCAACTAACAGATAATAATTACTATTATAGGATATTAAATGTAGGCAAACAAGTCACTCTAGTTAACATAAAAGCTCGGTAAACAAGCAGGAACAAAAGTAACACAAATCAGCTGTACTTCTGTAAGGTACCTACAACAAAGTAAAAAAGGAAAGTTAATAATCCTATTCAACAATAACCTGCATCAGGCAGATGGCACAACTGTGAGTGCTGAAAGTGAAGATAACTTGTAACACTTAAGATCAAAGACAACAGCATTCAATACAGATTACATCTCAACATCAAGAAAACAAAAATCCTTACTACCAGGCCAATGGACAATACCATGATAGATGGAGAAAGGATTCAAACTGTCATCTTTCTTGGATTCACAATCAATATCCTTGATACCAGTAGTCAAGAAATCAAAAGATATCTTATACCTTGGAAAAATCTATTGTCAAGAACTTTTACAAAGTTCTAAGGAGTAATAATGTCAGTTTAAAGACCAAGGAATGCCTGATTCAAGCCACAGTCTTTTTTAAAAAAATTTATTTTTTTTTATATGTGCCATCAAATCAGATCTGACTGTTACAGGAGGAGGTTCCGCTCCTTCTCTAGCAGAGCATCTGGTGAATTTGAACCGCACGCCTCTGTGATTGTAGTTCAGCTTCCTGCCACTAAGCCACCAGTTTCCCACAGTCTTTCAATGTACAATGACTAAAGACTGAAGAACTGATGACTCTGTGTTGCTGGCTGGTGAAGAGTAATGAATACACTCTGGATTGTCAAAACAACAACCCAACCAGGTTGTTTTTTGGAATCGAGGAGGGTGAAGCATCATCTCACCTATTTTGGGCATGTTATGATGAGGGGCCAGTCCAGGGAGAAAGATAGCATGCTTGGAAAGGTGGAAGGTCAGCACAGAAGAGGAAGACCTTCACCAAGATGGACTGATAGACTGTAAGAACAGCCTCAAATATATCAAAGATGGTGAGGATGGCAAAAGACAGGACAAGATTCAGATCTGTTGTTCACAGGTTCTCTACAGACCTCAGTCGACTCAACAGCATATAACAACAATTCACAAGGAGTTCTGGTGGCATAATCAGTAGGGAGTTGCACTGTCAACTCAAAAGCACAAGGTTTGATTCTACCAGTGGCTCTTCAGGAAAAAGATGGGCACTCTCTTCCTGTGAAATTTATAGTCTCTGGCAAGAGGGTCAGTGATAAATAAGTTAGTTGTGACTTGATAGCAGTGAGGTGCCTTACTCATCACAGTATAAACAAAAAATAAAATAGTGAGAAACAATTTAACTGAAAACTACAGAAACGTGTTAAAAGACAAACTGATGTAATTTCTCAATTTTATATGACTAGTAACCTAGGCAGAAATTTGGAAACTGTGAAACTTAAAGCAACTAAGAAAATAGTACCATAAAAAAGCTGGTGTTCCATAAACCTTAAGAGGAAGGGAATAGCTGTCCAATCATTCTATGAAGCTAGCACTACCATAAAACCAAAGTCTGATAAAGACACCAGAAGAAGACTTTATGAATTCAGAAGCACAACTTCCCAACAAAATGCTAGTAAACCAAATCCAAACGTAAATCATGACAAAGTGGGATTTATCTCCAGAATGAAACTCAAGTATACCTCACACATTAACAGAATATTAGGAGGGAAACAAATATTTTTATTATTGAAACAATAAACATTATTAGAAGACAAAATTCTCAACATGACAGAGAGCACTTCAAGCAAAAAACCACACAATTTAGAAGACACCATACTTGGAAAAGTAGAGGATCAAGAGAAAGAGCAATGCCCTCAAAGAGATGGACTGGCGGGAGTGACTGCAACAATGATACAAGTAGAACACAGACTGTGTGAGGGCAGGACGGTGTCAGGGCTCCATTCTGTTGTTCACAGTACCACTATGATCATAGCAAACGCAACAGTTTCTGACAACTACAGTGTTATAGTCAACAGATGAAGACTGGAGCCTTCCGCACTAGGACTAGAAACAATAAGAGGGAGGGCATCTGTTATTTAATAATGTCCTGCCATATCCAGTTAGAGCAATCAGACAAGAGCAGGAAATACAAGGCATCCAAATTCTCTGGTACAGTGTTTATTGATGTCCTCTGCCCATTTTATACTTGCCTTTTTTCCTGCTAAGGTATTGAAGTTATCTATACATTTTACAGCTACGTCCCTTATCAGATATACCACTGCCAATAGTTTTTCCCAGTCTGTAGGTTCTCTGTTTACTCTTTTGGAGAAGTCTACTGATGTACATAAGGGTTTAATTCTTAGACAATCCAATCACTGAGCTTATCCTCTGTTGCTTGTGCATTTTTAGTTCTATTTGGTAGTCTGTCTACCTATTACGGCTCCTAAGTTTGCTTAATTTCTTTTATGATCCTTATTATTTTACGTTTTATGCTTCAGTCCTAGATCCACCCTGAGTCAGTATTTGTACCTGATGTGAGACAAGGGTCTTGCTTCACTTTTATGCATATAGTTACCCATTTTTCACAGTAGCACTTGTTAAAGAGGCTACCTTCTCCCCACATAGTATATCTCATCTCTTTGTGGTCTCACTACCTACTTCTCACTGTACCAGAACTCATTGTTCTGATAACTGTGACAGTGTGGCTTGTGAAAACACAAACTATAAGACCTCCTACTCTGGTTTTCTTTTTCAGCATCACTCTGCTTATTTTCTAGGGGAAGATTTTGGTCCTTCCCCTATAAAGATGGTGATTTTTTTTTTTTCTATCTCATCAAAGAATGAAGAAGGAACATGCATTGGTATTGAACTGTGTCTGCAAATTGCTCTTGCCAGTACAGACATTTTCATACTTTAAGTCTTCCAATCCATAAGGATAGTATATTCTCCACTTACTTGAGTCTCTTTCCTTTTCTTTCTTTTGTTTTTTAATTTCGTTAATCCCATGGTAATTAACCAGGTAACAGATGAGGTGCTGGGTAGAGTCCTTTTCTTTTTTAACTGTATTTTTGTGTGTACAATCTGAGTGAAACTGACAAAGCACATTATTGTACGGTTTTTTTTTTCACCCCAAACAATCATTCTTGTAAACTCTGACCACAACATTAAGTAAAAGACACACTCTTTGTGGGTTTCCTGTAGTCATGTTGTGTAGTTGGTTCTTTTCTGAAACTGTTTTGAGTATTTGTGGCCATTAGAGATTTGAGAGCAATGTCCCTATTTCTGTAAACTGCTTTTGATAATATTTATTCTAGAAGAATAAAATACATAGAAATAAATTTAGCCAAAGACACAAGACATGTATCCAGAAAACTATAAAATACAAAATACTGCTAAAAGTAATCAAAGGAGATTTAAGTGAATGGACATATATTTCATATCATGAACCCAAATTACTACTGTTAAGGTGAAATACTATCCAAAGGGATCTACAGATTTAAAACAATTTAGCAAAATTTCAAAATTCCAACAGTTTTTTTGTAGAAAGGGGAAAGGTGCTATCAAATTGCAACTGATTTCAAATATTCAAAACAATTTAAAAAAAAAAGAATAAAGCTGGAGGACTCACATTTTCTGATTCAAAACATTTACAAAGCATAGTAATCAAGACAGTATGGTACTGCTAGTATAAAGAGCTCTGGTGGCTTAATAACAAGGAGTTGCATTATCAATGCAAAGGCACCTGGTTCAAATCCACCAGCTGTTCCATGGGAGAAACATGGACAATTTCCTTTTGAGTGATTAATAGCCTCTGAAAACCCACTGTAAAGTCAGCTATGAGCTGGTTCTGACTCAATGGTACATAATAACAATAACAACAGTGTAAGCACAAACAGAGAATGGAACTGAGAAATTCATACAATGAAGAAAGAACAGTTTCTTTGACAAATGATGATGGAGTATGTGGATTTTTCCTAAAGGAGGACATCAGATTCCCCTGGGTCCTTCATGACAGGACTCATGCTCTGTGTGAAAATTAACTCAAATTAAATTGATGGGCTAAAGAGAAGAAAACTGTCAAACTCTTAGAAGAAAGTAGAGAAGTAAACTTTCCAGACTTTTTATAGGGGATCTGGATCTAAAGTTGTCAAAAGCATAAACAAAAAAGCAGATAAACTAAACTTCCTAACTATTAAAAAAACTTCTGTGCTTCAAAGAATGCCAAAA